AGAAAGTGGTATGTTTTATAACATAATTTAAAAGAATATAAATTATAAAATTAAAAATTTAAAATTAATGAAAATGATTCTTCTGTATTAAAAAGCAGAACTGTTATTATGCCAATAAACTTCATGTAAACTAAAAGTACACTTCAGACCCAAATGTAGTATGTGAACAAACTATGTTGGTGTGAATACTCTTGCAACAGAAAGGGTATCTGTGTAATTATGCATTAAATTTGAGTCCTCTTAATTTCTTAAAATGCCTTACATTTCCATAACCACAATGTCCCCCACCTTGTGTTTATCCTGGCTAATCCAATTCAAAAAAGCTTTGGAGTCTACTTAGCAGTGTTTTCTGAGTTATAAAGGCAGTTATCACAGGTCAGAGGAATCTATATAACTCCCTAACAACATCCCTTTTAAAAATACACAAATTTTTGAGAACTGTTTATTTTGGCATGTAATACTTTCAAAATGTCATGAAGATATAGTTTTATTGAATTTAAAAATATGCAAAAATAAAGAGAATTAGCTGACCTTATTTTTTCATGCCATTAAGAAACTTTTCAGACTTTCTGTGTCAATACAATTTTTTTAATTCCCTCAGTCCTTTTTTCTAAATCATAATGTTGTCTTTTTCACAGATAGTCTCTCTTTGTGTGGAAAATCTCATCTCTTAGAGGTTGGGATGAATTCAAAGTTCCTTCATGTAAAGGAGATTTTTTCCTCTCATCATTCTAAGAATTTTACCATTTGTTTTCACAATACAGAACATGCATCTACAAAATCTCTTTATATGTTTTAAACATTTGCTATGGAACTTCTGGAGTTCATCTGTTTCTTCCACTGTGGGATTCCCATCAGTTCTCAGCTCCCACAGTGGCTAGCTTCATCTTCAGTATCTAAAGTCACGTCTGGACTGACATGAGGTCACACATGTTCCACTTAGCATGATTACATCACGGAGAACATCATATTATCAAAGCTTGTCATGGGCTTTAGCATGGAAGTGTTATAACAGACTACAATGACTATTTCTCATCGTCAGCCGTGTCTTTATTACTTAGAGTAACAAACCACACTCTGGGTTGGTATTAAATGAGCACCAGAAAGAGCATAATGTATCTTCAGAAAAAAAATTATATCTTTACTAGAAAACAATAGTGAAAAGAGAGCTTTTCCGATGTAGAAGCAGTGGTTAGGGATGTAAAGGGTCTTATCAAACAGTCACAATAAAAGTTTGTATTTGGTAAAATATGTTCTTTTCTCCTTAGTTCTCAGTGTGCAGATTAGTTAATTCCAGTTTAGTGCAACCTAAAGCACTTACCCCCTGAATCTACTCTTAGACCTAAGACCAATGACTCAAAAATTCGAAAGTGTATGTTGGCTTTTAAAACATTCATTCATTCACTGAAATTTGGACTGTTTAAAAGAATAGAGTTTGGAAATGGGCAGTGCTATAATGTAGAGAAAAAATGTCAGAATATATTAGTTAATATTTCTTGAAGAGTTCACATTAAATGCCCGATGCGACAGGCTGCATTAGTGTTTCCCTTTTAAAGATAGGAAAACACCTAGCTGGGCATGGTGGCATGCACCTGTAGTCCCAGCTACTTGGGAGGCTAAGGCAGGAGAATCACTTGAACCCAGGAGGCAGAGGTTGCAGTGAGCCAAGATTATGCCATTGCACTCTTGCCTGGCGACAGAGCGTGACTCTGTCTCAGAAAGACAAACAAAAAACAAAAATAAAATGGAATCACGCAAAATCACAGAGGGGTCAAGTCCACCCTCTTAACTGCTACCCCGTCCTTCCATCAGCTCTCGCAGTTAGATTTAGACTGATCCTTACTAAGGCATAGCTGGATAGTTTTGAGAAAGGGGTCTGTGTTCACTGGAAGTTGAGAAGTGCTTAGTCATCTGATGAGAGGAAAGCAGAGACACATTTGCATAATGCCATACTCCTGTTTTCAGGTGGGGGCAGAGATTGGCAGCATCGGAATTCATACAACCAATTTACCCATATATTCACTCTTGCATTCAACAAGTATTCGTGAGATGCCCGTCTGTGACCCAGGAAGGATGTAGGAACACATAGTACAAGCTTGGTTGGCCATGAGGCTTATTTTCAAATGAGGACAAAGTGGAAAATAGTCAAGCAAGCAAATAGCAAGTTTTCAGGTGTCATAGTGGCTGTGAAAAGCAAACAAGTAAATACAGAAATAGCACTAGGCGAAGGGGTTGAGAACTGTGAGGCCAGGGAAAGGAAGTTAAGGTTGATGTGCCCACAGGGTAAATGTTTGAGATGCTGGATGTGCTGATGATCCTCATCTGATCACTATGCCCCATATGTGTGGAAGCATCAGGGACTGAGTCTTCTCATGAGCCTCAAGGGCCATAAACATTCAAACTACAGCCTCCCGTTACGTGCACTGTGTAGAATAAGGCTTAGATCTACCCATATGAGACCACTTGTCCTGGAACAGGAGCTGGCGAACTTCTCTGTAAAGGGCAAGATAAATGGTTTAGGTTTTGCAGGACACACAGTCACTGGCACATTTCCTCCTTGTGGTCTCCACAACCCTCTCAGAACACAGAAACCACTCTCATGCAGCCTTACCAAGAAAGCAGGCGCAGACTGGATGTGGACGTGAGCTGCAGTTTGCAGCCACCCAATCTACAAGCAAAGTAAACACCAAAGTAGACATCTGCGTGGCGATGTGTGTGGCTCTGTGGTGGAGGCTTCAGCAGGGGCGGTGGGGCTGATGACAGGGATGGCTTTGAGGAGCAGGATCTCCTTGAACAGAGGCCAGTGGGTGAGGAAACCCAGGCATATCGGGAGGGGCGTCTGCAAGAGCAGAATCAAGACAGAACAGGCACAGGAACGTGCAAGAGCTTAGTGTGTATGACACCAGGGTGAGAAGGGGAAGAGGTGGACTTGGGGTGGGGAGTGGGACCCAATCCAGGGAGCACCCTGCCGCTCTCCTAGCAAGAGTGGGTTTGCTTCAAAAGGGCTTAGGAAGCTGAGAATCTGGTTAAGCATAAAAGTAACTTGGCCAGGCTTGTTCTTTAAAAACAACCCAAATTCCCATCAATAAACAGGTGGATAAAGAAACCATGGTGTGTGTGTGTGTGTGTGTGTGTGTGTGTGTGTGTGTGTGTGTGTGTGTGTGTGTGTGTGTGTGATGGAATACTACTCAGCCATAAAAAGGAATGAATTAATGTCATTTGCAGCAACCTGGTTGAGGTTGGAGACTACTCTTGTAAGTGAAGTAACTCAGGAATGTAAAAACAAACATTGTCTGTTCTCACTCATAAGTGGGAGCTAAGCTATGAGGAGGCAAAGGGATAAGAATGACACAATAGACCTTGGGGACTCGGGAAGAAAGGATGGGAAGGGGGTGAGGGGTAAAAGACTACAAATTGGGTGAAGTATATACTGCCCAGGTGATGGGTGCAACAAAATCTCACAAGTCATCACTAAAGAACTCACCTGTGTAACCAAACACCACCTGTTCCCCATAACCTGTGGAAATTAAAAAATGTTAAAACATGAAAATAAACATTTTAAAATAGTTAAGGGCTACAGACAGTGAGGAAGGGCAGAGCCTGACACTGAGATGTCTCCATCAGCCCTTGTGGCCAGAGGAAGGTGAAGGGACCCTAGGGTGCAGGAACCCGATGTAGCATTGTTACATGTACCAACATAGACACGCAGTGATAATCATCAGTGCTCTTTTGAGTGCAGAATATTTTATTTGTGGACCTATTTATTTTGACCAAAATACTGTCCTACTTTCAGGGGGTGCTTACCCCTCTCCAGGAATGTTATAAACTCATTGCCTTTCTTTTAGTTGTTTTTTTTTTTTTTTCTTTACCATATCCAAACATCACAAATTTCTACTTTATGACACCAAGATACAGCCTGTGGCATATACGTTTTGTTCTTAAAATGACATTTAAAAAAATTACCTAGCAAAATTCCCTTTAAAAAACTCTGTTTGCATGTCTTTAATCATTTTCTTTACATAAATCTTAAACAGCAACAAGAAAAGCACAGCATATTTCTATTAGATAACTAGCTCAAGCCAAAATAAGATCTATTGTTTTTCATATTGGTAGACTTGGTAGATTTAACTACAAAGAAAAGTTGTACATATATTTAAATTAATATTACTTACAAACCCACTTTATTAACAATACAAAATAGTAAAGTTGCTGTGTAAATAGTGAGGCAATATAAATAAAAATAAAGCCTAAAACACAATTTTGTATGAGACTTTGGAAAAATATTTTCTTATTCGAGTGATGAGATCAGACATAAATATATGTCCAGAAATTGAAAACCATTACAGACAATTGTTGACCTATTGATCTCTTTATACATCTGTATATGCTTAAGAGTTAGTGTTTTAAACACTGAATCTATTTTACCTCTTTACTGTGGAAACTAAACGGTTTTGCTTTTTGGACTGTACACATTTTACTTTTTCAGTTAGAAATTGAAATAAGCTCACATTCATTTCATTTTCTTCTGAAGAGGGAGTTTCTATCTTTGTTCTTGGTGCTCATAACACAAAAAGAGGCTTGCTTACACATTTAAGGCCAAAGTCAAAGCCATGTGGCCCTGTTTTCTTGTGTAAGGCAAGGTATTCGTCTTTGCTACGCCCACACTGTCCAGGAGCCTGTGTGAATGGCTGCGCAAGGATTGGCCAGCCTGCAGCCCACATCACTGGTCCTGCTGGCAAAGTCAGGTCTCCAGCTAAAGAGCAGATCCAGAGAAGGGGCCCTTACCAGCCCCACATCTGTGGACAGGAGGGGGATGCTATTGAGTTTTGCAATATCTCTGATATCCTCCCTCACTCTAACCCCAAGCAGCAGTGGAAGCATTTCACTGTGTCCCTTGCATCATGGTTTTTCCAGCATTTTACCTTCCCTTTAATTTCAGTAATAACATCACTGGAATTAAATTGTGTTCTTCAGGGAGCTGCAGAATCCTGTTCTAAAAGTTCATGTGACGAAACACAACTGTGGAGGCTAATTTCTGCAGCTCCTTTTCATCTTCAGTAGTTTCCACATTGATTGAAGACTTTTCCAGCTTTTTATATAGTCTTTAGACATTATTGAGTGAATTTGTTTTTGTTGTATAATGTTAATCATTTTTGCAGCATTTTTCAAAACTTTCGACAATAGCTCTATACTGTGAGGAGAACAATGTATTGTGACAGCATCAGGATTTATTTATTTTTAACAACAGAGGCAAAACTCACATGGCCAACCAACGATTTATGGGCACTATATCTGTGTAGACCCTCACACAGTTTACCTAAGATGAGGTATTTTTCTTCAGAAATGAAGACAAACTGTTAAATACATGATGACCTTTGCTTAATTGAGACACCTCTGCACAGGAAAACATATTTTCTTGAATTTTACTGCTATTTACTTTTGTTAGCAAGGGCTGTTAACTGTCAACTTGATTGAGAAATTGTGTTTTGGCTTATTATAGAAATCTTGCTCAGTGTCATGTGACATTATCCATATGTTGACTAATTGTTCATTTTAGGAGCAAAACCATTCCAGTTTCCCCTCTGGTCCGTGTCCTAGCATTCCCACTATGCACTCACTCTAATTTTACTGCCATGTCACTAAGTTTGCACCAACTGCTTGACTTTGCTTTTTGTGGCCAATAAATTCTGCTACTAAATAGCTTGCTTCCTGAGTGTTTTCACAGAATGTGACTTTTTTGTAAAAAAAGCTTTACTGTATTTGAGATTCCAGTAGCCCTTTAAAATAATCAATGCCATTACCTGTCAGGTGGCTGCGATTTGCAGTTAAGTGTCCTCAATTTTGCCAAACACAGTGCCTGTAAGTTGGCCACCACTGACGATGCACCTGACTCGTTCTTCGTGGATTACCACAGTGGAAAGCCCATTGTAAGTAGCCTTCGTTGTAAAGACAGGATTCATTTGTATTCCACATTGTGTTAGAGCAGTGAAGTGATACAGAAGAGTACAATTCTTTGTCACTCACCTCAAAATTGTCTGTAGACCTAGGCTTGGAAAATTTATCTTCTTTTGCACACCTGCTTTTCAGAAATGGCCACCTTGGACCATCAGATATCACAATGACTATTTATGTTTCACAGCTGTTTTCTAGAAGAATATATTAAGTACTGGCATAAAGCTACCAATTTATTTCATACTATAGATAATTCTAGGGACAAAATCAACTTTGAAAATCATCAAGACCATGTCCTTTTTTAAATCAAAAAAGTTCATAGATATATATGTGTGTGTGTGTGTGTATATATACATATATATACATACATATGTGTATACATACATATATATGTATATATATGTGTATATATATGTATATGTATATATACACACAAACATATATACACACACACACACACACACATATATGCATAGACAGATGGATACAATATTTTACCTCCTCCTCTTTGCTAAGCGTGGAGCCCTTTACTGTAATAAGATCACAAGTAATGAGAGAGAGAGAGAGAGAGACGAAGGAATGATCTTGGTTGATCCCTATCCTAGGTTTTATGCTATGTTAAGGTCATAGATGAGTTTATATTCAGGAAATTGCACGTTGAAATTAACTTTATACTATCCTGAGAAATTTAATAAAAGGAACAAAAATAAAAATAAAATGAAGGATCAAGTTGACACATGAGATAGAAGAGCTCTAAGACTTTTTAAATACTTTCAGATTAAACATTAAGTTGGTATTAATTCGTAGCAATGCCCATATTGACATTTTACTTACTAAAGCTGTAAGGCATCTTGGACCAGTACGTGTCTTGTCATCTCCTGCTTGTCATCTTATCTTTTCTCATTAGAGAAAAGCAAACAGCATTTCTGAAAGTTGACTCTGTTCCTTGTCTCCAGCCTGCATCCTGGTCTTCCTGAGCCCTCTCTAGTCACGATTGTGTGGCTTCTGCCCACTGAATAGCTGCAGGCACATAGGCAGTGGCTACCAAGCTGTCAGATTGAATGGTCCATTCCCAGGGCCCCGTGCATTTGTTACCAGAAAGGGGCCCCAATCCAGACCCCAAGAGAGGTTTCCTAGATCTTGTGCAAGAAAGAATTCAGGGCATGTCCACAGTGCAAATCAAAGGCAAGTTTATTAAGAAAGTAAAGTGTGAAAGAGCAGCTACTCCATAGACAAGAGTAAGGCATTCCCGGGAGTAAGAGAAGGAATGTGTCCACCCTAGGTAAAATGCTTGTTCATGTATAGGATAAGAAAAGACCATGGGGAGATGTGCTCTGCTGGAAGGTTTGTGATAAAATACTAATGTTCTTAATTACCATATTTTGAAAGAATCAATATTATTTAAAGCAAAATTAGGAATGCTTCTGTTCTCAAGATATTGGGATGTTGGTCCACTTAAGGTTGGGTTTGTTTGGTGAATATTATCAATCTCTTCCCTTATCCACGAACATCCAGAGGCTAGGAATACCTTACTTTCTGGGAATGCAGCCCAGCAGGTTCCAGCCTCATTTTACCAAGCCCTCGTTCAAGGTGGACTCACTCTGGTTTGAACACCTCTCACACATTGTCTTGTGGTTAGCATTGGACTCTTCACCTTTGAAAGACTCCTTTATTACCTACTTGGACTCTCCTTCTTGGTCCCTTTTCTATTTGACTCTTTCTGCTGTCTCAGTTGCTTTGCTGAGGCCACTTCATGTCCCTTCCTATGAACAATGGAATTCTCAAGATCGTCTTCATCTTCATTTTCTTCATCCGTCCTCACTCTGATCCTGCAGCTTCAAATACAGTCCGTCTGCTGACTTCTACCAAAATGTTCCTATTAAGACTCTGAACTCAGGCTGCAAACAGTGAATTGTCCATGTGACCATCTCCCCTAAGTGTCCAGGAGACATCTGAAACACAGCATGCCTAAAAGCAAACTCTGGGTCTCCTCTACAAAACCTGTTCCTCTCATAGTCTTTTCTTCTTAGATATTAGAAAATGGCGGTCCTTTTTTCTTTGTCAGTTATTTAGGCTGAAAATCATTATACTTAATTTCATTCTTCTTTTGCTCCCATACCCCACGTTCATCAGCAAACCCATTCACTCTGTTCATTTTCCATCATGTCGGGAATCCAACCATCCCCCCATTTCCACAATTAATTGCCAGCCTAAGCAACCATCACAGCTTGCCTAGATTATTGCAAATCTCTCCTGACTCATTTCTGCCCTTCTGCACTTACCCCTGTTCATTCCATTCTCAACACAGAAACAAGAGTGATTCTTTTCAAAAGTTAGTTTATGTCTCTCTTTTGCTCAGAATCCTCCAGTGACTTTTCACCTCACTCCCTAAAAATACAAATTGTTCATACAATGTCCTCCAACGTCTTATGTGAACCATGCCTCATTACCCCTCTACCTTATGTCCTGGGCTTCCCCAAGGTCGCTTACTGCTAAGGCATACCAGTTTCTCAAATGCATCAAGCATGTCTCTGTCTCAGGGTATTGACATTTGTCCTTCTCTCTGTTTGAGATAATCCTTCAGGATGTGCAGAGTTGCTCATGGTGTGTGAAGCAGGTTCCCTGGGCACTGGTTACCAACTTGTCTGAGTCCAGTGAGAGAGAACACACCCACACACAGCAAGTGCCGTGAAGTGTTGAATTACTCACAGATAGGCAGCAGGGAGGAACAGGAACCCACAGTCACTGCTAGCTGGTCCCCCAAGGCTCAGGGGAGGACGTTGTCTCAACTGCATGAGCCCCACTTCCACGGTAGCTGAGGGACATGGGAAAGCAGCTCTCCCTGGGTTTTGTACCCCAGGGTTATGGATCTCACTTAACTGAAGCATTGAAGGATATTCTGTCCTGGGGAAGACTGGAAGAGAGCCCAAGCGGTTCCATTTTGCTCCTTTTTACCTCAAATGACAGCATTCCCAGCACATTCTACAGTTTTTCTTCAGAAATTTGAGTGAGAATAGGGGGAGAAGCGGATCTGAACTGTCCTGTACTATGTTCTATGAAGCTCCATACAGCATTATTTTGATTTGCAATTAGCTAATGATCAGTCATGTTGAGCTTTTTTTCATATATTTCTTGGCCACATGGATGTCTTCTTTTGAGAAGTGTCTATTTTATGTCTTTTGCCCACTTTTTAATGGTTTTTTTTCTTGTAAATTTGAGTTCCTTGTAGATTATGGAGATTAGCCTTTTGTCATACAGAGAGATCACAAAAATTTTCTCCCATTCTGTAGGTTGCCTGTTCACTCTGATGATAGTCTCTTTTGTCATGCAGGAGCTCTTTAGTTTGATTAGATCCCATTTGTCAGTTTTTTTGCTTTTGTTTTAATTACTTTGGATGTTTTTGTCATGAAATCTTTGCCATGACTATGTCCTGAATGGTATTGCCAAGATTTTATTCTAAGGCTTTTATAGTTTTGGGTTTTACATTTAAGTCTTTAATCCATCCATCCTGAGCTGTACTTGATTTTAAAGGAGATTCTGTATAGGGCACTATTGTACTGCAAGGTTTCCAGGTATTTCTAAGAAGAGTTAGCACCTATTTAATTAACTCTGTTTGCCAGATGAGAAGGTTGTTTTGTACAGTTATTTAAAATTTATTTAAGTTATTTAAAATTCAGTGTTTAATAAGCTTAAAACATTAGAATAAGGCTTTTTTCCAAGACTAAACTGTCATTGTGCTATACTCAATTCAGTTTCATTTCCAAGTATGGAAACTGTGACTGTAAAAACCAAGTCTACAAGCAAAATGGAATCACAGAAAAGCCTATTTATGAGCCAATAAGAGATTGCAGTGTGCTGCAGACAGCAGCACGCACCACAGACGCAGCCCTGTTTTACTGGAGATGCAAACATAAGCAGGCTTTAGATTGTTTCTCAATCTGGCAACAGTTTACGGGAAACAAGAGAAGTTGCGGTCTATCCATGAAATGATTGTGCCTACATTAAAAGGAAAATCATAGCTAAGTTCGTTTGGTTGAACAAAATTATCAACCAGATACTTCCATGGTACTTTAAGTTGTCTTGAGTTTCCTTCCTTTTTCATAGGTATAAAGGAAGGGGTAGAGATCCTTATTTTCAATGTGTGATATGTTTTTAATTTTAAACGCCATTACCCCACACTTGAGTTGGTCCTTAGTGTGTGACAGGGTCACCCGACAGTGAGGGATCAGGGAGAGAGCCTTGTTAGGATTTAGAGGGGCAGAGCTGTGCTTTGCTTCAATTCTTGGCTAAGTGTTATAACTTCTGAATCACACTTTTCCTTGCACCTATAAAATGAAAACCTCTGTGGGATTAATAATATAATACATGTGTGTAGCCCTCCTGTTATATGCCCAGCTCTGTTTCTAATCTGGAGATGCAGATGAGAACATATGTAAACACAACTGTCTTCATGATTTATAACCTAATGGATGAAGGCGTTAGCCTGGAAACAAATAATATGTGTGTATTTATTATATTAAAAGTGCTGCCTAGAAGACAAAACCAGGAGTAGGGAAAGAGCTGGGGTTATGTTGTGTTGAGGGGGACCATTTAATCTAAATCAGCCCAGTAGAGAGTGACTGAAAGATTAATGGTACCCATGAGGCAGCCTTGCGAAGATTCTTTCAGACAGAGATAACCACAAATGTCAGGGCTGTGAGGCCAGAACAGATGGGCATGTGATAGAAAAAGACAGGCAGTCCATGCTATCCACAAGGGTAGGGAAAAGGATTGGGGCGAGGTTGTAAGACACGTGGCTCAGTGACGAAGGAGAGGCCATCTCTGGCTGTTTCAGGCTGTTCTAAGGTGTCTGGATTTTATTCTCACTTCAGTGGGATACTGCTCAGGATTTCCAGAAGGGAGGGTGCTTTGATGAGGTTGGGGCCTCACAAAGGTTGCTGTGGCAGTTGCATGTAGTATGGTGTGCAGGTGAAGCAAGAGTGGGATCAGAGAGCAATCTGGAACACTTAGGAAGACCACAGTGACACTCCAGGTGAGAGGAGATGTTGCCTTCCACCAGGCTGTTAGAGCAGGTGGAGAAGTGTGGCTTCCCGTGTGGCATACATGTAGAGCTGCATGACTGCTGATCACAGGTGCAGGTGATTGAAAGAGGACAGAGATGGCAGGCTGTGCCAAGTTGCTAAGGAAGACAAGGCCAGTCTAGCAACAAAGAGGAGAGCTGTATACCTTTGTTGGGTGGGGGAATGGGGCTCACTTGAGTGTGCACACAATCACAGTGAGGCAACTCAGGGGTGAGCCAGCCCAGGTGCCATCTCAGTTGCATCATCTTAGATAAGGCATCTCAAGTGTCCCATCTCAGGTGCACCACTCCAGGTAAAGCATCTCAGGTGTGCCGTTGCTACTCAGTTCCAGCTGATGGTGTCTGTGGGAATGAAACTTAAACTCTGTTTGATCCATCGTCTAATTTTTCAAGTACAGTAAAGATGTAAATTTAGAAGTCCAGGTGAAATCCTGATTTTCGAGTGTTGGTTTATAAACTGTAAACACTCTTTTAAAAACTCTGTGCATAGGATCGGGTCATTGGCCATCAGTTTCTGCACATCTAGCATGAAAGCATTTAGCAGTCTTGTAGGAAAGCCCTTTCTCTAACAAAGATATGATAAATGGAAGAATAAAACATACCCTGAGTGAATAAACAACTTTAATAGGAGAAACACTCATTATTCTCTATCCAAGAAAAGTAAAAGGAACATCAGCTATGAAATATAGGAGAGGAAGCTGCTGAATTAATTTACAAGTATTTATTGTATCTGTAACATTTGACCAAGTTTTTGCCAAGTGCTAATGGATGAGACTCTCTAATTGGTGAAGTGTTCTTGATTTATTGCCCCAAATAAAGTAGTTAAGAACTTTTGATTCTTGATTATGTATGAAGTGATATATGATTTTTACAATTACAAAGCATCACAAATGAATATGTAATTTGCCTGAAATAAATGATATTACATAAACTTTTTTAAAGGAAACATGATTTCCATCATTACATTATCAGAATAATAGAGCTATCTAAAACCAATGTGCAATATTAATGTTTCAAAGAAGGATTAATAAGTAGGGGGTTTGCCAAAACCTTTATGAAACAATGTCTTAAATTCCTAAGGAAATTATTTTACATATTTTTATTATGTTACAGTTAGCTAACATATGCATCGTCAATTTTTAGAATGCAGTGGGTGTAGTATTCGTTTTTATTGCTTGATATCTTACGATGTATTAAAAAAGCAGGCTTATTTAATAATAATAAAAACTCATACAGGTGATAGGAATATAAGTCATAGAAGAGAGAGTTTGACCTTTTGTTGCACAGTGCTGTATGTTAAAGCTCCCAGTGACTACTGACTCTACTGACTACAAGGGCAAGTACAATAAATCCTGATAAACTAGATTGAATTTTCTCTACTTGGACTTCTTATCTGAACCACAGAGCATAGACTATCCCCCAAGGATGGCACAAACCTAGCAGCATTCCAGGTGCTGAAGACAGGAGTTAGTCCCTTACACTCAGTGGACACTGGGTATTCGGGCTCCTGCCACCTGCAGGACTGGAGGAGGGAGGCTGCTCTGAGGGCAACCAGTTCCTGCTTACTGCACTGTGCATACACTTCTGACCACTGCCACTAGATGGTAGTGACAGCTCACACTTGCGAATTACCGTTTCTCACTAGCCACGACGGAGACAGTGACCACCACTGAGTGCATTTCTACCAGGAGCCAGGCTCATCCTTCACATTGAGGCCGATCCTCAGAGACACCCTGGAGAGGAAAAAACATAACCCCCACTAATCAAAGAGGAAGCCTGGCTCAACTTCACTCAGCCCACAGGTGAACCTGCTTTGTGACGCTAAGCCCATTCTTCCTCTACAGTTACACATGGTAGACTCAACGGAATTCCCTCACCCTCGCTTAGGTGTTAACATTAATTGAACCCACAGGTTGCCATATGTTGTAAAGTCATTAGTTTAAGTACAAATTGCTGATATACACACAAACTTATTAACTCGGCTCGAATTTATATTGATCATTCCAGGAGTTAGAAGCAAAATGATAGTGCTTTGGGTAGGTCTGCCGAAAGCCACATGCTCTACTATGTAAGACAGTCGAAGATCTGGACACCAAGCTTGATATCATAACAACAGTAATAATATCTATCAGCCATTTAGGGACATATCTACTTGTATATATGGCAGGATGGTAGGTGGCTTGATTAGGTTACTTTTTGTTGCAAGTTGGTAGGAGAGTCCCTCCCTGGATGTCCCTAGGTCATATAAATGTAGCCAACTGGTGGGGACTTCTGCTGGTTTTGAAGCAGTGTCCACCAGAAGGGGGAATCTTAGTGGCCAGCATAGAATTCTACCTACAACAGGACCAAAAACCACGCTTCACATACAAAAACTAGAGGGAAAGGAAACAGCAAGGAATCCAGCCCTTGGGAATGTTCAAAGCATGTGGGAAAATGTGAACTGCCAAAGACTTTACAATTCAAGGTTAAAATCAAATTTATTTAGATTGACAAAAAAGCAGTGAAGCTAATTGCTGATTCTCACTTATTTGTATAAATTTATGGGGTACAAAATTTTGTAACATTAATAGATTTTGTAGTGTTTAACTCAGGGCTTTTAGGGTATCAATTAGCTAAATAAGGTACATTATACCCATTAAGTAACTTCTCATTCCTCCCTTTCCTACCCACACCCTCTCCTCTAAGTCTCCATGGTCTTTTGGGTCACACTCTATGTCCATGTGTATGCATATTTAGCTCTCACTTATAAGTGAGAACGTGGAGGCTTTTGCAGCAACATGGGTGGAACCGGAGGGAAGACCACTCGAGGTCAGGCTGCAGTGTGTCAGAGTTCACACTTGCATGACCATTTCTGTTCCTCTGATTCAGGTTCTCCCTGTAGTGACTCAGCGTGGTACATAGGAAGATCGAAAGTATGATCGAAAACTTGAATAACTATTTCAGTGTCCTCTGTCATTAACTCCCCACAGTGGCTGGGCACAGCAACTCATGCCTGTAATCCTAGAGGTTTGGCAGGCTAAAACAGGAGGATTGCTTGAGGCCAGGTGTTTGAGACCAGCCTGGGCAACATGGGGAGACCCCATCTCTATAAAAATACAGAAAAATTAGCTGACTGTGGTGGTATACCCCATACTCAGTAGGCTGAGGCGGGAGGATGGCTTGAGCCCAGGAGTTTAAGGCTATGGTGAGCTCTAATTGCACCACTGTACTCCAGCCTGGATGACAAAGCCTGACACTGTCTCTAAATAAATAAATTAGTTGAATTAATAAATGTCTTACAGTAAGCCTGGCTATCTTTTACTTGAATTTGAGACTAAACCATTTGTAGTAAGTGGCTCCCAGATAGTTGGTGAATAAATTTAGGCAAAAGAGTAACCGTTGCCAAAATGTGACCCAAAGAAAATGTTGCGTGACAAATTTGTAACAAGGAAATAAAGTAATCTTAGCCTTAAGATGCTTTATGCTCAACCTGGATGTTTATGCAGTTGTTGCTCTAAGGCTCTGGGACTGTAAGAGTGAAAAAGGATATACACAATTGATTCCTAAAATCATTTGGTATGGAAACCACATTCCCCAGATACCAACTGACATCCAGCTGAAAACCCCTTAGGAAATGTGACTTTAGATAAATCACTGAAAGTAAATGATTGTACGCTAATTTCTAATAGATTTTTTTTTTTTTCGGTAATTTACGAAGTCAGAAAGACCTACTTATCCCTGAGCGTGAGAGAGGGTGTCATAAGTGTGAGTCTCACATGTTGGTAGACAGTTTGCCCAAAATAGAGGAGAGAAGATGAACAGGCACCACACTGAGAATACAAAGCAATCCTTAACACAGCCTTTAAAGAGAACTGAGAAAAGTGTTGAAAACAGGTCCCCTGGGAGCTTAACATCAAGGTAAGAATGAAGGAAATTAATACATTTTCAAAAAAAAAAAAGATAAAAAACTGAGTTAGATAATTGAATGCAGAACTTCTGGACCACCTAGAGAAACGGTGTGGTATCACAGGAGCGAGTAAGTGACAAGAAACCAGGATATGGAATTACTTCAAGGCTGTTTGTTATTTCACAGTGCATATGAGTGACAGTGGGGGTATGGACTCTCACAGCCTAAAATAATAAAACAATCATTTGAAAGGCAGTCAAAGCTAGTAGCTTCAAGCAATGCCTTTTCTTCATAGAAGATCTTTCTTCAGCAAATACGGGTTTAAATTATAAATATCACCAAAATAAATTTAGTTTTGTGTGCCGTGTTACTCTTAGAGAGCTCGTGTGATTGGTGGACCAAAGGTATTCTTGGTGAATGAAGAGCTGATAACTCTGAAAGATTCTGACTGTAGATACCTACAGGCTAAGATCTCTAAGTTTATAAGTACTTGGGGAAAAAAGTGAACTTATATTTTCCAGTTTGTCTGGTAGTTACCGGAGTAAGCAAAGTAAAAGAGATGTCCCAGGCACCTTGGAGCTTGGTACTAGCTCCAGGCTGACTCATCACATCGTGACGGAGGCACGTGTGATGAAATAAGTTGGTAGAGTGAAGCTCATGGGCCTCCCAGAGCCTCCAGGAGATTTCAGATGCAGATGAGTGGGTTCAGGGAAGCAAGGGCTTTCCTGAGATTCTT